AACCAAACCCTAGCAGTTCCGATGGCGTGTTCGGAACTCAACCCGAAAGCCCACACAACACGAAGAGTGCACTCACCAAGCTTCCACCGTATATCCGCAATCACATGCGGCTAGTAGTTAGTAGAGAATGAGACTTACTATAGCATCTCCTGACACGTCTAGAAGTGAGGAGACGCACGTAGCACTGCTACTTAGAGCTCGCAATACGGTATGTATGGCAGAAGGTCATTTGTCACTGACGGACACTCATCTCGGCTGTTCATCCTAGGATTTCTGACTGAAATCCAAAACGCCTCTAACGCCTTCCTTGCCGAAATTTCCGTCTCCTGCGCCAATATCGTACACTTGATTTCAAAGTTGTTGCCATCATGCTCCTCAGATTTATGCCTGCCAAGCGCTGTCGTGAGCCTATCACGTCTCATACCAGCTAGGTGCTCGTTTATTCGTATACCTAGCGGCCTTCCAGTCTCTCCGATATATGTGCGTCCAAAAAAGGCTCGCGCTTGGAAGGCATAAATCTGAGGAGCATGACGGCAACACTTTGAAATCAAGTGTACGATATTGGCGCAGGAGACGGAAATTTCGGCAAGGAAGGCGTTAGAGGCGTTTTGGATTTCAGTCAGAAATCCTAGGATGAACAGCCGAGATGAGTGTCCGTCAGTGACAAATGACCTTCTGCCATACATACCGTATTGCGAGCTCTAAGTAGCAGTGCTACGTGCGTCTCCTCACTTCTAGACGTGTCAGGAGATGCTATAGTAAGTCTCATTCTCTACTAACTACTAGCCGCATGTGATTGCGGATATACGGTGGAAGCTTGGTGAGTGCACTATTCGTGTTGTGGGGCCTTTGGGTTGAGTTCCGATCACGCCATCGGAACTGCTAGGGTTGGTTGGGCGCTTAGTAAGGTAGTGTTCATTTCCTAACCTCGAAACGCGTTTAGGCCTCTGAAGAAGACGACCAAGTCGAAACGTTAGGCCGTAGAATAAAGATTTCCACCTAAAAGCCTCGAGTGGCATAGCAATATGAACAGTATCAAAATGATTTTTTTCTTGGCCCAAATAGACCCCACACTCCCGGCGACCAAATGCGTGTTCCTGTTGGGGATTCTCCAACAATGATGTGCCCTGGTGATACCAGCGGTATGATAGAGCCTTGACACTTGCTCGCTTCGACAACTGTTGGAGAACTGGTTCGACACCGACCCCAGGGCACGCCATCTTTATGATAATCACAGCAGGGGTCGTATTTGACTTCAAGGGAGATGTGCTCGTAAGTGCAGGGTCTTCACGGGAGTGAGGGTGCAGCGATACCCAGATGTCGTTCAGCTTCAATGATGAAAGACTTATCCATGTGAAGAACCCCTGAAGAGACACACACAAGACAGAAGCAACCTGCCAGCGCAGAAGTGGCAAACGGGCGATGACAAGAAACACGATGGACGACATGAATTAATAAACAGATGAAAATAGATGTCCGGACCTTTCTGATCGCAGGAGGATATCTACTTGCACTCAGGAAGCCCTATCCAGAAGTTGCACCTTCGCAGTACATCTGCGTGAGAGCCTTCTGCATGGCGCATTACAGAGGTGATGCCAATCGGCGCCGTATGAACCACTTCCTGATACCCCTCTCGAACATATGTTCATGAACTATACCAAAATCTCCAAGGAACTTGAATTTTTATGGTGTCGGAGGGGTGGGTTTTTCGTGTTTTTCGGAAGGGGCTGCTTCAGAATAGCAGGATTAGGGATGCAGGTAAAGTCTCGCTGGGAAGTACAGACGTCCGAAATTCCGATGCTGCTTTTTGTGTCACGAATGGCTTTGCATGAAGATTTATGGCAGTTCAATGCGTAAGACCTTGTAAATGACCCCGGAAAATCACAAGGGGATCGCAACGGAGTAGTTCCTTGAAAAGTGGTTTTTTTTGTCGGAATCGCTTAGACTCAGGTAATAAGTGTCAACCTAGTGCTCTACAGCCCAGCTTTCTCTGAGAGCTCCACTCTCAAAGAGCTTATGGATGTGCAAGCGAAGGGTATTCTCGAAGTTTTAAGGCTTCAGACCGCATCCAAACCGTGAAAGAGTTTGCACCAATACCACAGCACAAAGCGTGCTTACCTTTGAATGACCGTGAACAGGTAATATTCAAGTGCTGGCACTTGCATTTTCCCTCAATTTCTTCCTTTCCTTGGGTTTTTAAATGCTCATTTATGATTTGTTACTTTTTTTTACCTATTTATGATTTACCGGTTGGATCGCCCAGCTGTCACCGGGCGCTCCTCCTTCTGTGACATGGTTCGGCTTCGCTGGCCAAGCGGATTTGCCGCGTGCTAAGTTACGGATCGTTGATCCAACCACACTGTTCAAAGGAATGTTCTGCATCAGCCAAGAACTGAAAAGCAGCGCCCGTCCGTCAAGACGCAGAAGCAGCAGCCGCCCGCCGCATCACAGAAGGAGGAGAGCCGGCCTTAGCCAGCGATCCGACTGGTACGTTCATTACCTCCACGGAAATGTTGCAGCCTGTTAAGATAGTCGTCGAAGCAGCCTATGACTCGTGCATCCTGTCCTCTTAAAGTGTCTTGCTTTAGAATGCACTCCCGCATTGAGTAGTGAAACGCTTTGAATGACCCTCGCTAAGCTTGTTGATGGGAGGTAATTGTGGTTAGAGTGGTTAAGTCAACTGATGCTGCTCATAACATCTCTGTAACAAACCTACATGCATTTGGAATAGAGCTAGCTTAGCGGTCGTACATGATGTCGTTACTGATAAGCGGTGAAGGAATGAGTTCTGTTGGAATCATTGAGATCGTTATACTTGAGTCATATCGATCGCAATGTTGTTGTGAGCGGTGAAGCGGATTTTCTCATGTTGACTTGTCACTTTCGACTCCTATCACTTCCGTCACCGATAAGGGACCTCGGAAAGGATATGGCGATAAGGGGTGTCGGAAGGGAAGGGTCGTCAAATTCGCAACGATGGTTACAACAACAGTGGGACCTTGGATCCGAAAGGTGATGTATGGTGACATGATAGTGATATGGGGCGCGAATGTTATTATCGGGTGACGGAAGTGATAGGAGCTCGAAAGTGACAAGTTAACATGGGAAAATCCGCTTCACCGCTCACAACAACAATGCGATCGATATGACTCAAGTATAACGATCTCAATTTCCAACACAACTCATTCTTCACCGCTTTTTGGTGAATACATCATTTGTTATCACTTTCTGTCACCAGCCAATAATGTTCCCGTCCCACACCCTATATCACCTCTCGGATCCAGGGTCCCACGCTTACTGCGACGGATGCTATGAATTTCGTGACGGACAGACAGACACACACACAAACAGACACACACAAACACCAGACATACTCAGCGGATTATATATAGTAGGATTATAGCTCATTTTCTTCGTGTTTCTCACATTTATCCTTGATTAACGTCGCGTCTTTTTTTCGTTTATTTTCGCAGATCTTCCATTTTTCGGTGTTTGTTTGTCCGCTGCTGATCTGGTCCTTTGCTACCAGAGTAGCAGGAACAAGGGGGGGGGGAGTCGTATTGAGCAGAAATTTATCACAACGCGATGGCGTACCCTGACCGCGCTACACTCTCCTAGGTTGAGTTTTACACTTTCTTTTTTTGCTTTTCCAGGTGGGTTATCCATATTTTATCTGTGTTTTCTGTGTAGTACTACTCAGTGATAGATCAAAAGGGCACCAGTAATTTAACACATTGAACGCCGCGTGAATTGTCGGCAATACACGCGCATACTCCCGTTTCTCGCGTTTGTGTATTGCCCACAATTCACGTTTTGTGGATCGGTTTTTTCGTGGATAAGAGTGCGACTTGAACCATTCTCACCGTGTATATGTTCAGTGAGCTTTGCTTATGCTTAGTTCATGATGGCGTGAAATAAGCTGCTCATTGGAGTAATTCATTAATATTATTACAAAATAACAGTCAGTGGCGCGGTAGTTGCACTTTTTATGATAGCTCCGCATCGCTACAATGGCAGTAAGACTTCTAGTGATAATTAGAGTCGATTTGCAATACATTTGATAGTGTCTATTTATTATGATAGCAGCACTTATGTTGTCAAAAGTGACGTTTAGTTCTTTTACGTTGTCCATATCCATCTATGCAGCTAAAAAGTCATCATTCATACTGAACAATGTAAAAATGAGCGCAAAAGTAACCAGAATGTGCGTGTAAAGGGGCATGCGGCACAAAGACTCCCGTTTCGCGCGTTTGTGTATTGCACGCAATTCACGCGCGCGGAGACGCAGGAAGTAAAAACGGGAGTCGCCGCAAAAACGCCGCGGCGTTCAATGTGTCAAATAATCGCGGCTCACTACACTTTTACTTTCAGACGGATCAGTACCAAAAAACACGATTCACTTCGCTTATAACCCCTGGGCGAAAGAATACCGGCGCCAGTGACAATTTATCTGGAGCAAAATTGCACTATTTGAGAATAAATTCAAAAGAATAAATGAGTTTGTATCAAGTTTAATGAGTGTAATCCCGAAGGCACATTGAATGATTACTTGGTTGTTTCGTCGTTGTTCGTTCGGTTGTTTCGTCGTTCGGTTGTTTCGTCGGAAGACTCACTTCCACAGTCGGCCGATGATACTCGCCAAAGAGAGTCGAAATGAAGTAAGAAGCCGAGTTCTGGAAAGGAGGTAAGGAGCCGAGTTCTGATGGAGTTTAGTTGTCTCGCATTCTGTTTTGTCCATACCCACTACGCGAAAACTTACGTTGGAGTGGAGTTGCTGATCTAGCACCACGGCTACTACGTTGGGATGTGTGCAGTGTAAAAACTCAAGCTCCGGCACCCACTGGTGCATCACAGGGAAGCATACGTTGTTCACCTACCATTTCCTTTCTCGTTCCCGCCAGCAGCAGCAAGGAATTTAGCCATTAGCGCCACTGCGTATTCATAGGCTTTACTTGTTGACTGCATTGACTGCGCGGCAGTCTCGGGCGCTAATACCTGCGATGAATCATCGCAGCCAGCCCCGAGTTCTACGGTGTTGAAAGGACAGCAGAGGGACAGAAGCCATGGGCTCTCTGTTACCCCACAATTTCTACAGTCTCTATCAAAAGTACACAGCGAGTAACATCACCATCAGTCCGGTCGGTTCCCGAGATAAACACCTGTAGTGTTTCCACTACTGACTGTTCTCTTCCTAGGTCTGCCCATAGTCAATGACCGTTGGTGGAGCAATGCAGCTGGAGGCGGGGTCATCCGGCCCCCTCGCTCCGCCCCGACTGAATGCAATATCGCAAACTATATGCAATTAATGTTAAACTCTGATACAAGTTTCTTCTTTGATCACAAGGAGCACCCATGGTACAGCGTTTCTAAGATGCTCCTTCATAAGCAAGAATAAGCACTCTACCTCACTTACAATCATGACAGGATGGTGCCATCCATCATCATCATCGAGCTCGACAGCTTACTCCGCTCGCATCAGTTCAAAGCGAGCACACAGTATGTGTACATTAAAGACCATAGTACGATCACTCACAGTTTGGTGTGCGTGACTATCAGCCCCCCAGCTGTCGAAGCGTAGCGGTTTCCCCGTCCTAACACGGAATGGAGATACAGGACCGCGAAACACGCTAATTCCTCCGCCCTGTCCTGCCCTTGCGGCGCAGACTCCCGTTTGTGCTAACAGCAGTTCCGCGCGGCGCGTGTCGCGCGCGGCGCTCTTGGCACTTTGCCGGTCCTGTAACTGCGCTTTGGAATAGGTCCTGTAACTGCGCCTTGGAATACATAAGGAAGTAAAACGCAATTCCCTGATGCGGATAACATTTGAGGTGTTGCTCATGCTGCAAAGTCCGAATAGAAGGTGATGAAGATGACAAAGGCTAGAAATGAAGAACAACGAATGTAGATGTAAATAAAACAAAATCGAAAAAAAATTAAGGAAATGCAAATTAATCAGAACTTCTAGTAGAATTAATGTCAATTTCTGCAACACGGCGCGATTCCGTCTCCAAAGCCATAAAAATACTTTGACGAGTGGAACGCCTGGGCCGTTTTTATTTTCACCAGTCGGGCGGAATTGCTGCGTGCTAAGTTACGGATCGTTGACCAACCACACTGTTCAAAGGAATGTTCTGCATCAGCCAAGAACTGAAAAGCAGCGCCCGTTCCGTCAAGACGCAGAAGCAGCAGCAGCGCCCCCGCATCACAGGAGGAGCCGGCCTTAGCCAGCGATCCGACTGGTACGTTCATAACCTACACGGGAATATTGCAGCCTGTTAGGTTAGCCGCTGAAGCAGCCTATGATTCATGCATTCTGTCCTCTTAAAGCGTCTTGCTTTGGAATGCACTCCCGCATTCAGCAGTGGAACCCTTTAAATGGCCCTCACTAAGGTTGTTGATGGAAGATAATTGTGGTAAGTGATTAAGTCAGTTGCTGCTGTTCATAACATCTCTGTAAACAAACCCCATGCATTTGGAATAGAGCTAGCTTAGCGGTCGTACATGATGTCGTTACTAATAAGCAGTGAGGAATGAGTTCTGTCCTCTTCTGTTGGAATCATTGAGATCGTTACACTTGAGTCATAAGTTAGTATAAGTATAAGTTTATTACGTGTGCATAAGGCATATAAAAGAAAAAAGATCGGAACACGTTACATATACAAGCTTCAACATTGTTGAATTGAGTTAAAATTTCCGAAAACAGTAATTGATTGTGTCATATTAATCGCATTGTTGTTGTGAGCAGTGGAGCGAATTTTTCACTGACTTTTCGCTTTCAGCTCCTATCACTTGCTATCACCCGTCACCCGTCAATAATATTCCCGTCCCATATCACTATCATATCACCCTATATCACCTCTCGGATCCAAGGTCCCACTGTTGCTGTAACCTGCGTTACAAATTTGGTGATCCTCCCCTTCCGAGACCCCTTATCGGATCTTATCAACTGTTATCACTTTCTGTCACCTACCAATAATGTTCCCGTCCCACACCCTATAACACTCTCGGATCCAAGGTCCCACTGTTGCTGTAACCTGCGTTACAAATTTGGTGATCCTCCCCTTCCGAGACCCCTTATCGGATCTTATCAACTGTATCACTTTCTGTCACCTACCAATAATGTTTTCGTCCCACCCCCTATTTCACTGCTCGGAACCAACGTCCCACTGTTGCTGTAACCCGCACTATGGACTCGGTCACCCTCCACTTCTGACCCCCCTTATCGGTCTTATCAGCTGATATCACATCCTGTCACCCACCAATAATGTTCACGCCCCACCCCCTATATCACTACTTGGAACCAATGTCCCACTGTTCCTGTGAGCCGCACTATGAATTTGGTAGTCCTTCCCTTCTAATGCCCATTATCAGATCTTATCAGCTGATATCACATCCTGTCACCTACCAATAATGTTTTCGTCCCACCCCCTATTTCACTGCTCGGAACCAACGTCCCACTGCTGCTGTGGCCCGCACTATGGACTGGGTGACCATCCCCTTTGGACGCCTCTTATCGAATCTTATCAACTGATATCACATCCTGTCACCCACCAATGGTGTTCCCGTCACACCCCCTCCATCACTTCCTGGAATCAACGTTTCTCTGCTACTGGGACAGGTGTTATGAATTTCGTGACACACACACACACACACTTAGCGGATTATATATAGTAGGATGTTTTGTGGGAATGCGCGGCCTCGAGGGATATTGCAGAAGCAGCACAGTTGCTCTTGAGTTCTGGCCCTCGTCATCATCTTCAATTCTTATTTTGCAGCACCTAAATGTTATCCGCATCAGGAAATTGCGTTTTACTTGTATTCCAAAGCGCAATTACAGGACTTGGCAAAGTGCCAAGAGCGCTGCGCGCGACACGCGCCGCGCGGAACGGCTGTTAGCATAAACGGGAGTCTGCGCCGCAAGGGAATCAGACGGAGGAGAGTGTTTCACGGTCCTGTATCTCCATTCCCGCGCATGTTGGGACGGGAAAACCGCTACGCTTCGACAGCTGGGGGGCTGATAGTCACGCACACCCAAACTATGTGTGATCGTACCATGTGTCTTTGAGTCTCATCCTCTGCTGATGCACAGGCGTGTCAGGGCGGGGCCGGATTTGGTTCGGAGACGGAATGTTTGTTATCAATCACTGTCGCATGCTGTCTTTGGCAGTTGTGTAGATCGAGTTGGTGCCACGTCAATGCGAACACCCTGACACGCTCTGCATCCGCAGCCAGCAAGACTGTCTGTAATATCATGACTGAGGGCACTCATAATTTTTAGTCCCGCTTCACACTTTTGTGATGACGGAAATTCAAAGAGAGAAAGATTTCGGAAAGCACGTCGTCTCATCTTGAGCAGTCGCGTTATGCGAGCGAAGAAATGCGTATTGCTGAGCACCCTCTTCTTGGATAAGCCATGTTGATACCAACCGTTAAAAAACGCAAGAATGCATGCATGTATTCCGCTGATTCAGTGGTATTAGGTCGTGGCAAAAATAATGACCGTTTTGAAGCAAATATTTTAAAATATCATAACTCGCTTCAAAGTGTTGCTTTTCAATCGAAATAACGACCAAAAGAATCAACACATTTCTGCCAACGAGAAGGCAGTTTAGATATTCCGGCAGCATAAAATTCTGGAGTTCTGGAATCGACGAAATCGTTGAATGCCTTTTCTACGTCGTCTTGGTTTCGGAAGCATTTCTCGCGTAAGAAAATTTCGAGATGCTTGAAAAAGTGATAATCCGTAGAAAAAGGTCTGGTGAGTATGGAGGATGGTCGAGAGTTTCATATCCCAACTCAGTTTTTTGAACGTGCGGTCGGGAGTTGTCGTGGAGTAGGGTCGCCACCTTTCTGTTGATCAATGCGGACTGAATCCGATGCGATTTCGGTGCATTTTTTCGATTTCCTTACAGTTTTCGTCGCTGTGATGGTTTCTCCTGGTACCAGAAAGCTGTGGTGGATCGAAACAGGCTGTAGACCACCTAAACAGTTACCATGACTTTTTTGGTGCAACTCCGGCTTGAGAAAATGTTTAGGAGCTTCGTCGTGATCCAACCACTGTCCTGACCGTCGTCTATTGTCGTATTGAATCCATTTTTCGTCACACGTCACAATGCGTTGCAGAAAAGGATCGTTTTTGTTCCGCAAAAGATGAGACGAACAGACTTCGAGACGACGAGATTGCTGGTGCTCAGTCAACTCATGCGGGATCCACTTGTCAAGTTTTTTTACCTTCCCAATTTTCTTCAAATGACGTGCTACAGTTCCGAAGTCAACTCCCAGCTCTTCAGCAATTTCCCTTGTGGATGCTCTTGGGTTGGCTTCTATCTGTGCCTTCAATTCGTCGTTAACTTCCGATGGCCGACCGCGTCCCTCCTGATCTTCCAGGTTGAAGTCTCCATTTCGGAATTTGTCGAACCACCTACGCGTGGTGCGCTCATTTGTAGTACCTTCGCCCCATGCGTTGGTGATATTCCTAGCTGCTTCCGCAGCATTACGGCCGAGTTTGTACTCGTGAAGCATGATGAGTCGGATTTCGCGTCTTGACAACATCTTCGCGGGTGACCCAAAATCGTAGAAGAAATGGTGGCAGAGAAACGGGAAAAAATTTGTACGATAGCTTGAAAAATGTGCTTCCGAACGATATATTAAATTACTATATTTGCCTAAGTTTTCAATGAATTATGATCAGTGGGACATAGTAGATGCGAAAACGGTCATTTTTGCCACGACCTAATTCTTTCCATCTTCAGAGTTCTGTCCCGCTCCTATGAGTAGTTCAAAGTACACTCACTTCCGGATGTCCCACTCTTATGAGGACTTCAAAGTACACTCATCTCTGAAGAGTAACGCCTCAGCCTTAACCAATGATTGCTTCAAAAAGATTTTGTGTGTTTCCCTGAATTACCTAAGCATGTATCCGAATCTGCACATTTTTAAGGGAAATAGTGTAGTGAAGAAGGTGCAGTGAAGTATTTAGTGATGTTTGAGTCAGCTAATACATGCTTCTGGACGCAAACATTGGAAACCGCTATAGTCGACCGTGCGATCTCGAAACAGTAGTAAAGGAGACCTTTTGTAACGGTGATCCATTCAGTTTCAGCATTGAAGGGCGATCGAATCAGATCCGAACGCCGATCGCTCTTACGCTGCGTCTTAGAATGCGGTTCAGGAACTGCTGCTGCTCGCAGCAGAGCAGGAAGAAGTTCAAATTTTCATGATCCATGATTGATTCTGCTTGAAAATCTACTTGAAAAATGAAGTTTCAAGGAGTTCCTCAGTTAAGAAAAATCAACGATATGTTCCAATGTCTGGGGGTTCCTTGAGTCGAGTTGCATTTTTCAATGATAGTGACAGATGACGTAGTTGATTTCTGGAGGATGATACTTTGCATCATCAGTGCTTCACATTCTTGATAAATGAACGAGAAACTTTATTCTGCGAAAAACCAGGCTTATGTTGCTTTCCAGCTGCGTACTTGCAGAAGGAGAATCATTCCTTGTAGACACAGACGACTTTTACTAGGTTCCCTTTGAAGAAGCTGTTGCATCCATACCTGGTGCGTGCAGGAAGGTTGCGTACCTAAAAAAACGATAGCACAGAATCTGACCAGCACAAAAACTCTGAAACTTCTTCCCGTTTTAACATCCCGCTCACCAAAGGAAAGCTTCGTAAATCATGAATTTTCGCTATTTATATTCCTTGTATGCAGAGGGCATTTGTACACTGTGCATATTATCGTAGGATATTTACATCAAACAGTCAATCGGACAACTGTCATTCAGCAAAACGACACGACTAGTTCTCCCAAAAGCGGCACAGGAGCAGGTGCCACCTTCAAATGAAGACATAGCCACGCCTTAGCTCCGCGATATGATATCTCTATACGAGGGAATAAGGTGTCTCCTGACTTTATCGCGATCTCGATACACCCCACAATATCTATATGTTTTGAAAAAAGTTTTCGCTTGAACTCACATCCATCCGTTTGTGCTGTTTCGTCTCCCAAACCGTTTATTAGGGTTAGTCCAATCATGACTGGGACTGACCCACCTCTCGCAAAGGTTCTTAACAGATAGCGTTACTATGTGGAATATTCTTGTATGAGTAGACTTACCTTTCAGCCGTGAACTTATGAGGTGCATTAGAGGCCACAACACCTCTGGCTTCGTTACAAGCGTCACTGGAAAGTCCTGGGTCCCATTTCTGGAAAAGAAAGTTGGTCCAAGAATTTATGCTCGAGATCCACTCATGAGGGTGTGGAAGATTGCGCCTGATTGCAAAATGAATTATTGTCAAATGTGACAGACTCTAGCAGAAATGTGCCGTTTTCGTCACTGGAAAGCCGCGAAGAGGGAGCACGAGAGCTGTTATACCTGGCCGCCACACGAGACTTCACCACCTGTCCACAAAGTGCTGCACAGCATTCGCAGCGAGCAACATGAACTGCAAGCTGCCTATCGCGGTCAGTAGTAGAGAACGACCACACATCAAAGAAGGGGGCAGAAGGCGCAGAAGGCATCTGGTCACCTCTTCCTCGCAGTCTCATTTCGGCGCACCTTCGGTTCACTTCTCACTTGAAAAGAGGATTTTCGAAGGTGAGCGCACAGCGCAACTTTAAGGAGGCAAAATCATAAATTGTTCGGATTTCATCAAATGTTTCTTGGAGAATCGATATAAGTGATTCAAGGAGAAAAAAACATTTCCAGAAAACCAACTAGCTGAGGGTTGAGGAACCGATTGAACGTCGAGTACCATTCTTCCTTCGCTGTGTAGGTAGGGCATCTACCTGGAAACGCATAATGGTTCTCCATTGTAGAGTTACAGGTACTGAAGAAATGAAACTACTGTACTTACTTAGAGCCTCTACGTTGATCAGGAGGAAGCACAGTGGTATGAGAGCGAACAACATTTCGATTGTCACAAGATCTTGCCGGACCATTTTATGGGCAATCTCACCAATATGGTTTTGCAGTCAGTTATCATTGGAATAATCTGGAAATCGTTTTCGAACCGTTGGATAATTTGTGTACCCCTTTTTCCATCTTATTCATGTGTGCTGCACTATAGCGAATCAGAAGTCGATGGAAACAAAGCACATTGTGTTACATTCAAGTATGAAGTTTGATCGTTATTGATCCACAGCAACTTTTCGGCAGCGAAATGCCTTGGCATATCCTACGACGATTCGAACTGCCCTAGTAATTACAAATCACAGCTGTTGGAAGAATGGTGAGAAGTAGGGTTTTGAAAACCATGATATGGGGCAGGAGACAAAAAAATTTGTTGGGAGACTTACTTTTGGAAACAAGCCGTGCAAGCACATTCTTGCATTGCCGCATGACGCTCAAGACAGTGGCCATGAATACCACTGGGTTCACATTTGATATGATATCTCTTTCGGAACGTGAACTGGAGTGCAGCGTGTTGTTAATGGGAATCCCTTCTCGAGATTTTCTTCTCTTAGAGGCAACTTAAAGGCTTCTCGATAGTTTCCGCCATCTAAGCCTATGATTTAGAATTATCAGTCTGGAAATATGAGCATGGACTTCCTCAAGTTGCCTTGTTGACTGGCATTTCTAGTCAATGTTCATGATGTGAATGCGGTGCTGTGCTATAACTACCAGGCTGACGGGATAGTTTTGCCATTTTCAAGCTTTTTTTCAGAGAATCGTCTAAGAATCAACATGTGCCTTTTCAATTCGAAGTCACAACACAGTTGGACATGGTATATTAGACACTAGTGAGAGGTCTGCCTCTTTGATCACGCGCACCTTGACTTATCCTTGTGGTGATTCATGTTAACACGTGATTCGAGTGACAGCGTTCACATTTGACGTGATAACCTAATATCGTAATATCGGAACGTAAGCTGGAGAGCAGCGCGTTGTTAATAAAACCCTTGTTTGAGAGCTTTTTCCTCGGAGGCTACTCCACGGCTTCTAGACCATTTACACCATCCAAGCTAATGATTCCGAATAGCCGGTCTGGAAATGCGAGCACGGACTTCCTCCAGTTGCGTTGAAGACTAGCGCTTGCAGTCATAAGCTCTAACATATGCCATTTTCACTCCAAACTCACACTACAGTTCTTGATACATTAGACACTAGTGCGAGCTCCGCCCTATAATCACCGTCTGTCGATGTTTTTCAGTAAGTAGCATGTGCGAAATTATAGAAATGCAAAAAAGTCTTGGAGGAGAAGCCAGCAGCAGCCAGCAGAATCGTATTTTATTACTTGAATCACGTGTATGACATGGGTCATCACACGAGAACGCAAAAGCGTAGTCAATGGTGAGGAGCTTGTATAGCGTTTAATGTAGCATGGTTAACTGAAACGCGAATTTGAAGTGAAAATGGCCTATGTCGAATCTTACACGGTTGAGATAAAAAGTTTGAAAATGACAGAACTATCTCTCAGCCTGGTAGTTATAGCACAATACCGATGGGTCACATCGACATCCTGAACAGGGACTGAAAATGCCAGTCAACAAGGCAACTTGAGGGAGTCCATGCTCATATTTCCAGACTGATAATTCTAAATCATAGGCTTAGATGGCGGAAACTATCGAGAAGCCTTTAAGTTGCCTCTAAGAGAAG